TACTCGGAGAAAGCCTGCCCCAGCACCACTTTGTCCACCACAAATCCCACTTGACCAGACCCGGGATCAAACCCAGGAAGCCAGCAACTAACCGCTTGAGTTATGCACGGCCCCTTTATAAGTACTATATCTTGTGTTTCTTAAAAAGACTGCACAACTTAAAGCTCTTTATATTCAGCCTAGTTTAATTTATTTAATATTCTAAAATTTATTTTCATCTCTATGATAATTGCCAGACAAAATGATAAAAGGGTGAGAAATATTGGCAGTTTTTGTAACTGCAATTAATGATAATGATAAATACTTTTAAAAATTCCAAGGAATTCTTTCAACTGTCACAACCTTCAACCTTGGGACACTTCTGATTCAGAACTCAACTATTCTCTCATTTCGATATTTGATAGTTTTCTTTGGCTTATCACAGGGCCTGTACTTGTACCTATTTGGAACTGAACCCGTGATTAAGCAGTTCAAGACCTTATGCACATGACATTGAACAGCCACTTTGTAGGCATTATACTTTCTTTGTCTAGAATATATTATTCAGCAGCAACACAGAATAAGTAGAATGATTAACTAGTCTGTAACTGGGAATAGTAATGGAAGGAACAAAAGCATTATCCTGTTGTAGGAGCTATCACTGGACACAAAAGCTTGACTTGTGTGAGATTACTTCTGACTGACTTTTATAGATTAGAATGGTATGTCTATTCAAGAATATAGAGACATTGTTATTGTTTACTTTAATGTTAATTAAATGTATCACCTAAATCTATAATGAAAAATAATATCATGTAGGATTGGAGGTTCTCACAGTGGTAGTTACAAAGACTTTTGTCTTTGGGTATATAATGCTGTCTAGTCCCTCGAAAGTTAACCAACATTTGTAGGAACATGTCGCCTCCACCTTGTTGAAGGTCGTAGAATAAGCCAAAGAAGAAACCAGTGTGAAGAAAGTAGCAACCTGCTTCACACTGGTTTCTTGCTTGGCTTATTCTTTGACAATGAACATGGAAGTGACATATTCCCCACCAAAACATCAGTCAACTTTCAGCAGGCTACATGGCGTTATATCCCAGAAGATAGAACTCTAAATTATTATGCTGATATATTCTTTTGGCAGCACTCATATCTTATCAGCAGTGGCATCACATTCAAGTAAGAGACCAAGATGAGTCATTTGTGAGCAAGTTTCTGCAGGAAGCACTGGATATGATGGCACGCGTGTGGCGCCAGCAGACATTACGGGCTGACAAAGCTCTTTTCTCAGTAATACCTAAGAAAGTGAAAGAGGTGAGCAAAACATTTAGGTTGCATATAAGTGTATGTGTAACCACAGATTGTTTTAATTCACTGGTGCAAATACTGAATTAACTAATTAACAATCAAGTTCCTTCCGTCAAATGTGACACTTTTTTAAGTTTTCCACCTCGTCAACACCTGCCTTACATGTTTCGGCTCACCACGGAGCCATCATCAGAGGCATTTATAGTAGAAAAAGAAATCACCAACACACAAAACTTCACTTTGTCCAAGATAGCCACTTTCCAGTTAATTAAAATAATTACAAATTACTGTAATTACAAAGACACAAGCATCACAACACACAGACAAGCAACATCAAC